AGCCAGTCATTATGTCAAAATGAAAATCTGAGAAGGTCATCCCCTTTTTTCATGATCTTCCACTAATTTTAGGACAAAGACCAAAAAATTCTAGCAAGGCCCACAGGCCCTTACATAATCATTATCTTCAAACAATTCTGTGGTTTGCAGAAAATGCTCTAGTTTTCTGAGAAGGTAGATTTCAGTAACCTGTTTACAAGATTCCTAGATGATATTATGGAAAAGATAGTCATCTAAGGACCTCCTGGCAATTTCTAATCCATAAACAATATTTACCTTGCCAAATGAACAAGAAGGTCAACAAGTGAACAAATTCCTTCTCCCATTAGAGTATTCAACTTATGCTCCTTGTAGACAAGGTGAAGAACAAAAAAAATCACAGGTATGTGAGTAAAGAGAAGTATAGAAGAATCCAGACTGAGGTTCTGTGAAAAATCCTCATCTTTCATCTGTGAAACTTCTAAAGGGCTCAAACATAAAGATCTGTTCAAAAGATGAGACTCCACATTCTGATGGTAGTCTGAATTCAGTAAATATTCCCAGTCCTGAGAAGAGTAAAAAGGCTATTAATTTTTTAAAAATAATACTTCCCTATAATGTTATCATTAATAAAAGTAACCACATTCACTTAAATTATATGAAAAAAGTCACAATTTCCAGATGTTAGTGATAAACATTAAGAGAAGTCACTTGTAAAATATATTCATGCCCTTTTAGGGAAGCTACTGTGGGAGAATTATACGATGTGGGATTGAAAGAGAAAATTTAAGACTATCTCAGGCTATGTTTTACAAAGCAAAAGTAAATAATAAAAGCTGGTAAGCGTAGGTGAGCAGGTTGAGGTGCCATTATACCAATTTGTGTTTTGGTAAGAGGGAAGGTCTACCTGTACTTAGTTGGTGTATTCATGCTTCCATGTTTACAAAAATGCTGGGGCTAGTAATACAATATAATAATCAACAGCAACTTATATTAAAAACTGATTGTACTACATTTTCCAAGTATTAGGTCTATTTTGGTTACTACTTGTGATTTACTGTATTGTGTTCAAAGACGTGGTTTATGCTACTTCCAGAACTTAGAATTTTACTGGTATTTTTATAAGGGTTAATATAATGTGTTACTCTAACTTTTTTTTTTTTAATTTTTCTGTACCAAGAGAATCAGAGTACTAACTTAAAAACTGTTAGACCAGATATAGAAACTAACTACCAGACCGGGTGCGGTGGCTCACATTTGTAATCCCAGTACTTTGAGAGGTGGAGGCAAGAGGATTGCCTGAGGCCACGGGTTTGAGAACAACCTGGGCAACTTGGCGGGACATCGTCTCTTCAATAAATCAAAAAATTAGCTGGGTATAGTGGGGCACACCTGTAGTTCCAGTTACTTGGGAGACTGAGGTAGAAAGATCGCCTGAGCTCAGCAAGTCAAGGCTATGGTGCCCATGAGCGTGCCACCACATTCCAGCTTGGGCAACAGAGTGAGACTCCAACTCAAAAAGAAAAAGAAAAAACTAATAAATTGGATAACAAAACTTAAAATTCTGTTCATGGAAAGATGCTGTTAAGCTACACACTAAAATAAAATATAGCCAGGCTCGGTGGCTCAGCCTGTAAACCCGCGCCTTTGGGAGGCTGAGGTGAGTGGATTGCCTGAACCCGCGGGTTCGAGACCCACCTGGGCAGCAAGACCTCATCTCAACAATAAATAAAAAATCAGCCGGGCGTTGTAGCACATGCCTGTAATTCTGGCTACTCGGAAGGCTGAGGCAGAAGGATCGTCGGAGCCCAGCAGGTCGAGGCTGCAGTGGCCGGGAGCGGCCTCTGCACTCCAGTCTAGGCGACAGAGTGAGACTCCAACTCAAAAAGAAAAAAAAATAATAAAATAAAATATTTGCAACACATGTGTATGGTAAAAAACAAACCAAAACAAAAAACAAAAAAAACCCTCATGTCCAGAATATATAAGAAACTTTATTTATTTATTTATTTTTTTAGAGACAGTGTCTTGCTCTGTTGCCCAGGCTGGAAGGCAGTAGCAAGATCACAGCTCACTGCATCCTTGAATTTCTGGGCTCAAGTGATCCTCCTACCTCAGCTTCCTGACTAGCTGGGACTACAGCCGCGCGACACCATGCCTGGCTAATATAAGGAATTTTTGTAACTCAATTTTTTAAATCCAATTAAAAAATAGGTAAGGCTTGAACAGAAATTTCCAAAGAGATACATAAGTAGTTAGCATATAAAAGAGTGCTTAACATTTCTTAGTAATCAGGAAAAAACAAATCTAAATCATTAAAAGAAACTATTTAATGCACACTCAAATAGTTAAAATAAGAAAGATTGACAACAGTAAACACTGGCAAACATGTAAACATGAGGAACTCTCTTACATTACTGGTCAGAGTTTAATATGACACAATCAGTTTAGAAGTCAGCAATCCCCCAACGTCACAGCTAAGTATTTATCCAAAAGAAATGAAAATATATGTCCACAAAGACTTGTCACAGAATGCCATCAGCAGCTTTATTCTCAAGCCTCAAAAATAAAAATGGCCTATATCCACCAGCAGAAGAACAGATAAACAAATTATGGTATATTCGTAACTACTCAGCAATACAAAGGTACAAACTATTGATATCTGTTAAAATACAAATAAATCTAAAAAACTTTATTCTGAATGAGATAAACTGTATATCAAAGATTACATACCATACTATTTCATCTATACTATACCAAGTTCTCAAATAGGCACCACTAACATATGGCGATAGAGTTCAGATCAGTGGTTACTTGAGGAAGAGGAGAAAAAACTGATTAAAATTGCACAAGGGAGCGAGGCACAGTGGCTCACACTTGTATTCCTAGCACTTTGGAAGGCAGAGGCAAGAGAACATCCCGAGCCCAAGGGTTCGAGACCAGCCTGGGCAATTTGGCGAGACCTCATCTCTGTAATACATAAAAAAATTAGCTAGGCATAGTGGCGCATGCCTGTGGTACCAGTTACTTGGAAGACTGAGGTGGAAGGATCACCTGAGCCCAGCAGGTAGAGGCTGCAGTGGCTGTAAGCGTGCCACTGCACTCCAGCCTGGGCAACAGAGTGAGACTCCAACTCAAAAAAAAAAAGAATATATCCAGGGAATCTGACACATTTAAGAACCTAAATTAGAGAAACACTGCATAAAAAGGTAAATGCTGTCATTTTCGGTGATCTGTTGGTAATATCTAGAAATTCAAACTTTAATCGTACAAGAATACATACATTCACAGCAATTTTTAGTAATCATTAAAACAAAAGTGAGTAAGTGACCACAGAAAACATAATAGATCCTGTTCTTTAAAATAACTGCTATTCAGCATTAAAATAAACAAAACAAAAGGTGTTGGAAAGAGACAAATTGACAAGAATACTACAGAAGTAGGAAACTAGTATGAGTATCAATAAATTAATGACATTAGAAAAAAAATAACAATTCTTACATCATCAGAGCCAGTCTCAGAAGGCCTTGCTTTCTTGGGTGCGATGACTGGGGAAAGCGATCCTTCAAAGTCAAACTGTAAAATGCCCCAAAAGGTAAGACAGAATCATAAATGTATTACTGTCCACTGATCAACTGAAAGGATTCAGGAATCAGCGCTACCAATTAGGGAAACTGAGGAACGCCATCAAAACTCATTTTCTATCTGGAACATCAGAATACAAGTATCTTTATTCTATGAAAACATAATGAAATCACACATGCAAAGCATCTAGTTCAGGGCCTGGGCTCATAGGCATTTAAATGGTAGTGTCTTTCTCTCTATTTCTGTAATGACACAGATTGTATGACACCTTCAGTAGGACAAGAAACTTTAGGCGCAGCCACAATATGCCAAGTCTCAAAGAATAAAGCCAGTATTAGTCAAATATTAGAACTAAGTGGACATTCACTTAGAGTCCATCTATAGTGGGTCACCTTACAATTCTATGGCAGAGACAGGTGGCTGCACTCCAAAATCTTTGTTCTCTTTTTCCTAGACCCATAGCCAGACTACAAGTTAGATGTGTGGCCCTGTAACAGAGTGACAGTGAGTGACAGTGAAGGTCATCACTTCCAGACCCAGTCCATGAAAACTATCTGCTATTCCAGACCTTCTGCCCCTTCCACCTCACCGGTGCTCAGCCCACAGCAATCTTTTTTGTTTGTTTGTTTTATGTTTTTGTTTTGAGTCAAAGTCTCGTTCTGTCACAGGATACAGTGCAGTGGCATGCGCCTTGACCTGCTGAATTCAAGAGATCCTTCTGCCTCAGACTTCCAATTACCTGGAACTACAGACACACATGACCACACTCAGGTACTTTTTTTATTTCTTGCAGAGACCAGGTCTTGCCACGTTGCTCAGGCTGGTCTCTAACTCCTGGGCACAGGCAATCCTCTCACCTCCATCTCCCAAAGTACTGGCACTACAAGCGTGAGCTACCACACCAGGTCAACCTATGGAAATCTTTGAAGTTTTGTACTGAAGATACAAGATCCTCCATCAGCCTGGGTTCCTGAATAACCATGTAGCCTGTTTACCTGCTAACGACAGTTCTGTAAGCAAGATACACATATTTATTATGTTTGAGCCAGCGTATTTTTTAGGACTCTTCTGTTAAAACAGTGTATCCTCTAAGGAATACAACTACATAAAACAGTTTTCTAAGTCATTTGTCTTCAGTTTACTCTGGCATAACCTTTGCCATCCTGGCTACTACACATGGACATTGAACTAGCAATAAACCATAGCTGTATAAATTAAAGGAAATGGCTATTTTCCTATGCCATAAAAACTTACATATTTATCAGTCTCTTTCATGTGAAAAAAGTTGACTTCTATATAAAAAAATAATGAACAGCATAAAGTACTTTTTATTTTATCGTTTTAGAGACAGAGTCTCACTCTGCTGCCCAGACTAGAGTGGTGCAATCACAGCTCACTGCAGCCTCAAACTCCTGGGCTCAAGCGATCCTCCTGCTTCAGCATGCCAATTAGCTAGGACTACAGGTTTGCATCACCATGCCTGGGTAATTTGTTTTGTTTTATCTTTTATTTTT